ATTCCATTCATTACAGTAACCCACTTGTAACCTACTGTACAGCAGAGCGATATCCACGACTTAGTCGCTTTTTTTTTGTTTCCGTCATCACGTTTTGGAGTATAAATAATTTTTGACTTCAGTCCTTGTTTGAAAAGGAAAATTAGTCTATTTGGTACTTTGGGGGGTCGAAAGTGAAAAATGTCCAGTAGTTTTTAAAAGCGTAGTCTGGAAAAACCCTAAAAAAGTAACGAAAAAACGGGAATTTTAACGCTTATAATCAGTTTTCGACAACATCAATTTTTTATTTTACTGTAACTCAAAAACGAATCATTAAAAAAAATACTTGGAATTTTTACCAATTGTTTATAYTAGCGTTATCTATTTATGATAAAATTTTCAAAATATTTTAACTTTTTTTAAGCTATTTATAGACAGTTGAGATTTCCGATTTTTCYAAGTTTTTTTTTATTGAAATGCCTTTAAAAAAAATTTGGCTGTCCAAAAAATCATTAAAATGCAATTCAATGTTAATTATAAATTGTTCATATCGTARTAAAAAATAATCAGAAATCGTTAATCACAATTTTTGTTTATAAGCATTTAAAGTTCAAAYATTTACGAAGTATGTCAAAATCATGAAAATTTGCATGGAATTATGAAGTTCAAAATTCTTAAAATTGTTGTGATTTATACTTAGGTTCAAAAAACTCAACACAAGGTTCTCCATAAGTTTTTTTTTCAAATAACTGTAAAAAAAATTCTTGWGTCATATAGAAAACATTTTTTGAGCGTATAAAAATATATTATAATTTAAATATAGGGAATATGATATATCCTAGACTGACAAATCATCTCCGTTCAGAAACGTTTTTCGTATACAATTATACCTGTTATTACATTCAAATTTAATACATTATATATTATAGTGACCTACTTTCCATCTCTAATAATATACAGCAGAGCAATTCCCACCTATCACCTTTTTTTTATATTACATTTATTTATTAYACCATCAGTTTATAAGTAATTATTTTATGTTAATCCTAATTGGTATAAATAAAACCGTGTTACAGTAATGTACGACGGCCCTTAATGACGTCAAGGCCCGAGCTGCAGTCTCCCCAGTCAAAATCCATTAGTATGACTTTTTAGTCTTTACAGTGTATCTTATATCAAAGTTATATGGGATATAGGTGCCTATTTCAATCTAATCTAATATGTAATATACTAAATACTAATATGTTTTATAATAATAAATATAGGTATAATTGCTTCAATAACTATATTATTGGTGTTTTTACTAATATCAATAATTTCATACATTTTTTAAATTTAGATCGAGGACTCGAGGTACCATTTGGAGTAAATAAAGAATTTTCCAAAATGATATCCAGACAAACCTACAGAAAAGTAATTATTTAGTCATTAAATTTAATAAACATGTTAAATCGTAGGGAAGGGTTTTTTCCGAATACCATTTGTATATGACAGCAACTGGCTACAGAAGTTTTTAGAACAAGTATAGCATGGGGTTGTAAACTTATAATTTGTAAATAAAACTACACATTAGTTTATTTAAAGTAATGTATAGGTATATTATTGCTTCCATAAATCCATAATATTGTAGTTCAATGGTGTATTTAGAAATCTTTCATGGATGTGGTCCAACTAATTTTCCAAACACATTAAGTTAGGGGCTCCAGCGCTCCGCCCCTCCCTCAACACCGCTAAACATTTAACTGAAATAGTAATTCAATAGAAGGATTCTTCAATATCTATATGTATGTCCCAATAAAAGGACGTCATTGTTTTTTGCTAGTTGACTTTTTAGCCTCGTCTACATAACAATACAATTCAAAATACAGTTATTATTATGGGGTGTTTAATAGACCTCCTCCTCTTAAAGCTTAAAATTGGTTTTGCATAATTTTTTTCCCTTTTGATTTAGAAAAATAGGTATTATTTTATATCCTATTTTTAACCCTCCAATAGGTACTCTATTTTTTTACCCAACTTAAAAATTGTTCTAGATACCTAGTAGTTACCATCAATTATATTTTTGATATTATGTTTATACAATTAATTTAAAAATATTTCAATGTGTCAATTTTCGTCCTGGTAACATGTAGGATATAAATTTAATTAGTAAAATGTATTAGTATATCATATTAAATTACAATATTAGCAATAGTGGTAATAGGTACCTATAATATAAAACGTGTAAATATAATTTTAACCATGAATCACAATGTGAAAAACAATTATCCTRGGTCAACTTTTAATTTGTTTTTATTAATATTATTTCATCTCTATATGATTATTGAACTTATAGTATTTTATTTGTAAACATTTTAAGTTAAGATGAATGATGTAAGTAATGGTGATTACGGTTTTAAGGTACCGGTAAAATGTATAACAATTAATAGTTAATACCTACAAAATAATCAATATACCTATAATAGACAGATTAGCTTTTCTCGTAAWAAWTTAGGTTTAAAAGCTGTTATGAGTACCTGAAAAACTATATTATTTGTTAAACTACTTTCACAATATTATTATTTCTATTTATAATAATATACTTGTATTTAGGAAAGTGTGGAAAATATAAATTATAAGAATGCTGTAAAACACACAGTAATCAAACCGTAAGTATTGTGTTTATTTTTAGTTCTGAATATAATATATTAGTTTGT